ACCTGTTTAGCTCGCTGTCGACTGCTTGGTCGTCATAAAAAAATTAAAAAAACATTTGTCTTAATTAACTTTATCATCATGCAAGCAATGTGAAGCAGCATTATGCGCACTGAATCACATCCTGACGGCATGCCCCAAAGCATTGGGAGATGGTCGTTACAGGTGGAGACATGATAAAGTCCTGACAGAAGTCGCCAAATGGGTGGACCTGCAGAGGGTCAAAGCTAATAACAGCCAGGCACCACAGTCTCCAAAATTCATCAACTTCCAATCTGAAGGCAACCATACTCCCACGGTAAAGGCAACTGCCAGGCACCCGCCATCCATTCTACAGCGTGCTGTTGATTGGGAGATGCAAGTGGACCTCGGAAGAAGGCTTGTATTTCCACAGGACATCGCAGCAACCTCACTTCGCCCGTGTAACAATGTTCAGGGAAGAAGGAGGCGGGAACCGGCGAACAATCAAAATAAACTTTATTTAAAATAAAACAAACAAACTAAAATACCGCCAGCAGTCCCTCGCGGACGACTGCTGGCTAAAATAAAACACAAACACAAAAACCAGAACAACTAAAATACAGGCCTGTTCCTCTCTCGATCATTAATGTCGTCGCTCCCCCTTTATGCTTCCGCTCCTCCGTGAGAGATGCGAGACCGGTGTGCTATACAGGTGCTGCTCATTAGCAATCGCACCACCGGCCTCGCGCCGTTCTCTCACGTCCCTCGGCCGTCCTGTTCGCCACAGCCCGGATCTGGTCCTGATTTCCAGGAGCATCAAGACCATCTTGGTAGCTGAACTTACGGTGCCATGGGAAGACAGGCTAGCTATTTCGCATCAAATTAAAAAGGCTAAGTACCAGGACGTGATAGACGAGGCTCTTACCAAAGGATGGCACGCAACCATGTTTCCCAATTGAAGTCGGCTGTCGCGGTTTTCCAGCAACATCTTTGCGCCATTTCCTACAAAAGGTTGGCCTGGATCAGAAACATCTGAGAAAAGCCACCAGGGAGATAGCCCTGGCAGCTGAGACTAGCTCAAGATGGTTGTGGCTGAAGAGAGCCCACAGCTGGAACCCCTCTGCAGGCAAAGACTAAATGTTCTTCGCTGCCCCGCTCAGGTGAAGCGTACAGGTTAAGGGGTGAAACGCTAGTGAACCTGAGACACCTGCTGATGATGCAGAGGGGTCTTCAGCAATGTGGATGCTCCGCCCACCTTCTCACTGTGGAATACCATCACAAAGACCCCATAAAAGTAGCTCTTGCAATTTCTGCTTGTAGCAAAGCATCTTTGATGTTTATCTTACCCTATAAAGAAATGAAAATAAACTTACCGGTAACTATTTTGCCATTGAGAACAAAACATATCTGTTTTAATGACTGCAACATAGAGCAGGCTGTGTAATATATATATATTTTTTTTTATAAACGGGCTCGGATCGGACTCGGGCTGATCATTCTCATGAGCTGTCGGACACGGGCCGGGCTAGGGCCTGAGCGTCTCGGGCCAGGGCCGGGCTAGGGCCTAGATTTGAGGCCAGTGCAGGGCTCTAATGTGAAGCACTGCCACACAACAACACCAAGTCTGCGCGCCTGCGTACAACCTTCCTTCTACTTCTCTCCCTAGTAGCGCGAAATCAAAACATGGTGGAGCGAACAGCAAAAGACTCTTGTACGTTTATCAGAGCTGCTAGGGCAACTTGAAGGTCCGACGTATGAAAATAATCCGACACGTTGGTTGTTATTTTCCTGTACTGGCGCATGCCTGTGACGTAAACATGTAGGCCTACGCGACGAGAGCCACCGTGAGCAGATTTGCGTTTTTACCATAGACCAGTGTTTCTCAACCTCTCCTGCAGGGACCCCCTGACAGGACATGTTTTTGTTTTAACCCTGAAATGGCACACCTGATTAAATTAGTCAGCTACACATTAAGCCTTTGAGCCTTTAATTAATTGAATCAGGTGTGCCATTTCAGGGTTAAAACAAAAACATGTCCTGTCAGGGGTTCCCTGCAGGAGAGGTTGAGGTTTTTACCCTTTAGACGGGAACGAGACGGTGGAGCGTTTTTAAGATTTCCACTCTGGAGGGTGGTTTCACTTTTTTGCGTTTTTAAGCCCAAAAAACGCCGTCGCCGTGTAAACGAAAGGCACATCCGATAAAATATTTTTACGTTTTCACCCGGAATCGTTCTCGTGTAAACAGGGCCTTAATTGTTCCATTACTCCATATTTAACATACTGTACCGAAGTGTGGGGTAATGCATGCACCAGTTATAGGCTGTTCTTACTTCAGAAGAAAGCGATAAGAATTGTGACTAATCAAGGTTTACGAGACCACACAAATAAAGTGTTTATAAATCTGCAGACTTTGAAATTTAAAGAGTTGGTCAAATTCAAAATACTACAAATTATGTGGAGAGTGAAAAATAATTTGGTGCCAGTACATATTAAAGGTTCTCTAAGCGATCCTGGGTGACATCACTTCTTGTTGACGTTCGAACTATTGTCAAACAAAACGGAGGCTAGCTAGACCCTCCCTCCTCCTCATCCGCACACTAACCCCCCAAACCCCGCCCCCAAACCCTTCTTGTCGGTCATTGGCTGGAACAGTTTGTTATGTTTCGGGGAGCGGGTCGCCGCAGTTTGCTTTTGTTGCTGTTTGTGGAGCCTGGGCTGTCTACAGAGATCGCGTTTCTTTACAGTGTGTTCAGGGGACAGGCAGCCAGTGGATAGTGAGGAGATGTTTGCTGTATGTGACAAAAAATGTTTTGGCCTAAAAAACGCGTGACATCGCTTAGAGCACCTTTAAAAACAAATTCATGCTAATTACAGACAGTAACAACAGAAGAAAAGGCAATTTTTGTGTACCTTATTCACGCACCTCACAAAAACAAAAGGGGTTTCTTGTAACTGGGATTAGTTTATGGAATTCTTTGGACATGGTTCAAAAATCATGTAACATGATTGTTCAATTCAATAAAATGTATAAAAAATGCAATTGAAAAATACGAAGGAAGTGAAGCATAATAACCAATGTTTGATAAATTGGAAACTGTCAATCATTTAGAGGTGAAGTAATAATGTACCTCGACATAAGGAAAAATGGGGGGAAAAAAGGAAGAAAAAAAGGGAAGAAAAAAAAGGAAAAATCAAGCATCCACATTTGAGTTTCAATTTAACATATTTGTGTACACTATGCATGCTGATCAATGTTTATATGTGAGCAATATAAAGTGCATGTGTCTTTGGAAGACCTGGGTTACATTCTTTGATTAATTTGGATTACTTGTATGGGGTTTTTATGTACTTATTTTGTTAAAATGTTGAATATATAGACTTCCAATAAAATATCAGGGAAGAGGTATACTGAATTTCAAGATCTTTTAACATATGGTCATTACTATAGAGGGAATGCATTAACGTCACTTTCCCGCCGGAACACGCCCCCTCAGCCGGACTGAGTGGCAGAAGAGCTGCTGCGTGACTGGATTTAATAGGGGAAACTGCGAAAACGCAAGTAAAACAAACGATTATCAGTTTAAACTAAAGATTGGACTCAATATAGTGTTCCTTACTACTTACTAAAGATCCAGTGATCCATGGATATTAACATGCAGCCAGGAATCGTGTTTCCTGACATTTATATGTGCCTGATTTCGACACCAGGGAAATACATACAGCAAATTTGCCTGTGAACGCTTTATATAAATACAATATAGGCAGGTATAAATCCAGGTGATCACTTATCAATGTTATATATATCATCATATCGTCTAGACTTAAAACTTGTATAGTTTTTTGTCAGTGTTTATTTAAAAATGTCAAATTCAGAATATACAGTGGTAAATATTTGATTGATGAGTTGTCACTGCAATATATAACAATACAATATATAGAGAATGATTTTACCACTAAATTCAGCATATTGACACAAAAATGATAACTGCAAACCCACCTTTCGCTGCCTGGAGTCCAGTTGTTTCTATGAATTGCAGGGATCTATGCTTCTCTGTTCTGTAGCTTTAGGTAGTCTGTAAAAATATTCCTCATATTTCTTGTCAAATCTAGTTGTACAGTCAGTCTCAAAGCTCTTTCCCGTTTTAGACGCGTTTTGTGTGTTTTTCCGCAGCATTCACGCTGAAAACCAATGCTGCCGCTCAGTCTTTTTGCCACTTGTGGGCGTAACTGCAGTCCCTCCGGCCAACGGTGAAGTCACGTGCATTCCCTCTATAAACAAATACTGTTTCAGACCTAAACACATATGTGTTTTGTGTATTGACGTTAAAAAAAAAACTGTAATATTACAGGGTTTTTTTTAACGTCAATATTCATTATATAAATAATATATAAATAAATTTAAATGTAAATAAATAATATGTAGGCTATTAATATAAATGACATTAAAGATGAGACATACATTTTATAAGGTTAACCTTATTAAATGTAGGCCATATGTCTCATCTTTAATGCCATTTATTTTTTTACATGTATGTAGCCTATCAATAAATTAAGTAAACACAAACTGATTCATGCAGTTCAAAAGTGGGATGCAATTGCAATTTCATAAAACGTTATGCGATGGATGTTTAAAATATAACGTTTAGGATGTAGAAATATGAAATGTTGAACATGTGAATCAAAAACCTCAATAAGTGGCGTCAAGTCTTAATGAGTGACTCACTCGTTCAAATTCAAACGATTCACACTCGACGCGCGCGCAACCGTTCTGCTGTGACGTTATTTGGAACTATTTTCGCTGGACAATAATTTGATCCTGAAATGTACGTCACTTAATTAATATTGACTAATTGTCTATCCAACCGCAGACCATACGTCACAGCAGTCTGAGGTCGGACAACAGGCATTATTATAGCCTATAGCCTTCACAGTGCTGAGGAGGAGGACACCATCATCATAACCCCCTCCGAAGGACAAGAGGAAGGACACAGCTTCTCTAGGATGCAGCCTTCCGTTTTAGAAGCATCCTCTATTTTTCTCACAAAAAGCGTCAAATATCACCAATCGATAGGCGTGGAGGATCGGGTTTCGCAGCTTCAGAGGAATCTGGATTATTCGCAGCAAAAAGCGTCTGCGCAAGAACAGAAAATATAATTTTTTTTGAGCGAACAATTGATTTTCCACACAACATCCATTATTTTTATAGGAATGAAGTTCTTGATTTTGCACATAGCGAGTATTTTACTCGTGCATGGTAAGACGCAGACTATTTGTTTTTAATGTTTATCTCTCTACCGATCAGGATTCCGAGGCAGTAATTCATATTTTTTCTTAATTATTTCCCATATTATTGCCCGGTTTCACAGACAAGGTTAAAGCTAGTCCCTTACTAAAATGCATGTTTGGGCTGTTTTTACTGAAAGCAACTTGGACTGGCATGTCTTAAAATATGTCAGTGACATTGTTTTGTCTAGATGTTGTTGTCTAGTAGGCTAATGTCTTTTTTTTTCCTTATGCACATTTATGAAAGATACGTAAATATCATAATTTAACTAAGGCCACTGGCTAAGGAAACTGGCGGTAAAAATGGTGTCGTTAAAATAAGAAACCGATCACTCATTAAATATATAAAACTGCTTTATGTATTTGATGTGCTGTAAATAGATTGGTGCAGGTATGACGTCACTTTGTAGGCCAACCGGCAGTTCGCATCACTGGTTCCCTCGAGAAAAACCCAATAGGATTTTCCCATAGGCTTTCGGATTATCTCCGAAAACAAGCTCTGTGATCAACAAAAGTTTATGATACTTGCACGTTTTGTCCATTAATATCATTTTCACAACTTGAATTGTGAAGCCTAAATGCAGTCGACATGAAAAGCTAATAAACGAACTACACCAGGGTCCCACGAATTTAACGTCACCATCACAAAGCTTCAGACAACTCTTTCAGTTTTTATTTAAAAACATTTTCCCAGAAAGAATAGTTAGAATAATTTATATTTAAGCATAACAATGCTGTATAAGCAGACTCAGTTTACCTTTTCAGCATGATGACGTTTAATATCCTCGACAGCCTCTGTAGTGCCATTTAGCCACTTGTTAGCAACCGCCTTTTTGGGTTAATACTGATGTATTTTATGTCATAGAATAAAACGTGAAAGTGTCTTGAGCTTGCATTTCAGCCATTTAGCCAAAACCCCATTCAAAAAACCATTGACTTCGTGACGATGGAACCGAAAGTGCAACTCGCTTCTACGTTTTGGCCTACAAAGTGATGTCACACCTGCACCACTCTGTATCATCTATTGCTTCAGTTGTCCAGTTTTAATTAATAGAACGGCCTGACGCACTATGATTTCTGAACTGCATGATCTGCGTAATTTATTATTCTCTCCTGTGATTTATTATTGTTCATTTATTCTCCAGGTGTGTTTGGTGCTGATGATGCAGACAGAGTGTCAGTGTCTGTGATGGAGGGAGATTCAGTCACTCTACACATTAGTGTTAAACAAACCCAACAAGAGAGAATTAAATGGTATTTTAATGACACTTGTGTAGCTCAAATTAATGGAGATCCCTATACAGATAATAAATGTCACGATGATAAAGAGAGATTCAGAGACAGACTGAAGCTGGATCATCAGACTGGATCTCTGACCATCACAAACATTAGTACCACAGACGCTGGACTCTATAAACTACTGATCTTCAGCGGCGGCAGTGACAGTGACAAGACCTTCAGCGTTTCGGTCCTTGGTGAGTCATTTAATGAATGTTTTAAAGCAGGCTATGTTTTTTATCATCATCATTGATATTTATTATATCTGTGACCATCACAGCTATTTATTCTATACTTGTATTTTAACCCTCTGGGGACTAAGTCCTTTTTGGTCCGTTTTCTCTATTTTTACATTTGGGCTTATAAACCATATATAATGGAGATGGATCACTATGTGTTTGGTATCTATGGATTCAGAAGACCCTAAGATAACATAAGCATGCATGTAATGTGTTTATAAAGGAAGTATGAGTGAAAAAATGTACTATAAACTAGAGAATTTCAAAAACGGAAATTAGTTTTTTCTCATTTATTTCTGAAAATCACACATCACACAAAAATAGTGAACAGTTTTTGAACCAAAAATATATTTGTCAAAGCCTTTGCTTGACAGACATGTGTAATTGTTAAATAAAATGTGTAAAGAACAATGAAAAATGTAACTTTATTTACAAATAGTCGCAGGCGTTTTTCTTAGGAATGCTTAGAATTTTCTAATCAATGCGATCTCCTCGTCACTCTCCAGTAATTTTTCCAGAGCTTGTTCCACCGTAAATCGTTTACTGCTTGCCATCATAAAAGTGCTAAAACAATACATAATGCTATAATTGTATGTATGTGTATATAAATATATATATTATAATTGTTCTGTCTCTCTCTCTTATAAATCTCTGATAATCTGCTCCGTAAGCCTCCGTTCGCTCTCTCTCCTTCTCTCCATTCAACGCTGTTTGCGTCATATCCCTAACTATATAATACCACCCCTTGCAAGGCTACAGAGTCCTCTGATTTGCTAGAAAGGTCACGGTAACCTTCCTCTGATTGGGTAAGAAAAATATTTCTCCATCGGCAATTTTTCAATTGGTTGTTGTTCGCGGAATCTGCCAAACAACATCGATTTCATTGGCCTTTTACATAGTGGTATTGCGCAACAAGGAAGTGTGTATATTTACAAAGCCGGGTATCACTGTTTTCAGCGGAATCTGAGGAAGACGGTAAAAAAGACCGCAGCTCTCTATCATTAATAGTTTTTAAGATAATTACACATTTGTAAAAGTATGCCATTTTGGGCGGTACCGCCCAATCCGTCCCCAGAGGGTTAAGTATATAGGTAATTTACTTGACCTACAAAAATTTCGCTGTGAAAGTGTAATTTGTATAAATATCGCACGTTGCTTTATTGCACTGAACCAGGGGCGAGGGCCAGAAATGTTCAAGTGGGTGGTCCTTCATAAAACAGGGCGGGCAAAGTGTACAATGAAAACAGCAAGCCAAGTACAACAGCACACAAAGTTTCAAATAGCAAATAACAAAACACGTATAAACTACTATGACAAACACAAAAAAATATCTATTACCACGCCAAACATCTAGAGATTCTTCGCAGGCTGAATCTGTTTGTAATCACATGATTCTCTATAGGGTACACTTGATTGGTTACTGTTGTATCAGCAGCTAATGAGCTTGCGTGCTCAACCTTCAAATACATGGGTAGCATTTGCCTTAGCTGTGCAGAGGGCTTTCAGAAACCCTCCACCTTCCCCAGCTCCACCTGTATAGATCTGCTACGGGTAATTCATGTACGCTATATTGTACAACAGCAGCGTGTCGTGTATGAATTGGCAGTAGCAAGTCCCGTACTTGCTCTGTAGCAGCAGCAGCATTGCAGATCTATTCCGCCAACACCAAACATGTCAACATTGTCTTATCCTTTACCATGTCAAACACTCCTAGACTTGTCAAAATATATGGCGATTTAACGTGTAGCGTGTGCGCGACAAATGACGTAAGAGAAACGTCAGTAGGCTATAATCAATTATGGTCTTTTACTCACGATGCATCATAGAAACGATTAATTTTAACAACCCTAATTGTTTGACAAAAATATATTTAGTTGTGAGTATATTTCAATGAATTTTGCTATGAATATTATAATTGTAAGTTTTTTTTGTGTTAGTAATCGACTAGTAATCCATCAATTTTAAAATATTTGTAGCTATATGAATAATGATATTTCTTCATTGTGTCATTCATTTTGTTCATCCTTATTTTCAGGAAATTCATGTTTACATATCCAGTTATTTCTTGTTGTACACTTTCCCTCCAAAATCCTCCAGCATCTGTTGGTTTGTGTTTCAGGTGTTTCTGCTGCTGAACGAGATGAAGTGAAGAGAAAGTCAGTGAAGGAGGGAGAATCTGTCATTTTAGATCCTGGTGTAATAAAACACCCAAATGATGTGATGATGTGGTATTTTAATGACATTCTCATCGCTGAAATCACTGGAGATCAGAGTAATACCTGCACAGATGATCAGTGTGAACATGCTGACGGACGATTCAGAAACAGACTGAGGCTGGATCATCAGACTGGATCTCTGACCATAACAAACACCAGAACCACAGATACTGGACTCTATAAACTGGAGATAAACAGCAGCAGTATCAGCGTCCGTCGTCGCCGCAGCAGTGACATCAGCATCAGCAGCTTTAAGAGCTTCAGTGTTGCCGTCTATGGTTGAGTATATGATTTTATTCATTTAAATGATACATTATTGAGAAAATTTAAAGTTTCGGTGTAAACTGTTCATAGAAAAAAGAGCTTTAACTCAATAACATTTTGATAACATTCTGTTTTCACTTATATTCAAGCTTTTTTAATTGCTTTTCTTAAAAAAAAACCCTGAGGTAAATAGAATATCAGTAAAGTTGATTATGATTTGATGCCTAGTGATTATGTATGTCTGTCTTTACTGTTACAGAATCCAGTCAGTCTGTAGCAGTAATATGTGCTGGTGTTGGTGTTCTCCTGCTGGTTTCTGCAGCTTTAAATCACACCGCCGGTGTGATCAATTGTCACCGCAACAAAGCTTCAAAAGCAGGACAGAATGCAAGTGTCACATACATACAGCTGAGTTATTTGTAAATATAATCAGGATATAAACTAATTCACATGTATAAAATAAAATATGGACCAGATTTACTAACAGCTTGCGCCAGCGCAAACCCTCTTTTGGCATTAAAAAACTACTTTCAAGATTTACTAAAGAGACCGTATGTTTCCATCACCCTGTTTTTATGCACATTTTGAAGTATTGCATCAGAAACGAGTGATGGAAACGGCAAATATCTGAAAAAAAATCCTAAATTCGCCCAAAAAAATGTACACACGGTTGAGCTGGTTTTTGACTTGTGTAAAAAAGTGTTAATGTGAATAATGGGAGATTGAAATGCATTTACCGAATAAATTCTGAAATGGCAAACATTAAACCCACGTGACTAATCGGCTGTTTCCGCTGATGGTGTTTTATTTACTATTGGTTACTAGTTTACCAATAGGTCCGTGTACCTTGGGATTTTATTCTTTCTGTTCTTCTAAACAGAAAAACGAAGAAACCGTTCATTTATCACATATCGACCCTTCTCATGAACATTAAAAAAACAAATCTCACGTCGTTTATCCAGTGTATGAATATTTGTTTATTTATGTTTGCGAGGGTTGAATATGTGATAAATGAACGGTTTGTTGGTTTTTCTGTTTAGAGGACAAAAACAAGAAAACAAATTATCCCAAGGTACACGGACCCCAAAACCACCGTCATTCTCTCAAACAATTTGATGGAAACGCACTTAATTCACTTTTTTTTTTTTTTTTTTTTTGCAAACTTTGAAAAGATTCACTTCACGTTTGGATGGAAACCCAATAGTGAAACATTTGCGATGAAAAGATTCATTCTTTTAAAGATCACTTCATCTGGAAAGTATCTGCTGTTAGTGTTTACTAATGTACATCCAGCCGGTTGTTATCTCTTGCATCAGCCTGAAGAGGGTTTATTCTGAGATAACAACCGGCTGGATGTACATTATCCCGCTTATTAAACGGGTACTTGCCACATAAGTAAATAATTATACACGAAATATTGATCTGAGTTGAAATATTTTATTAGCTTTTTAAACGCAAAGCTTCTGTGGAGAGAGCAGTTGATAGCAAGCGCCAAGTTCAAACTAGACGAACATTTAAGAGATACGGTATACAGTCATACCACTTATTACAAAGCATTTCGCAACATAAATAATTTTAGAGATAAGAGATATTGATTTCAGATTAAACTGTTTTAAAATCATACCTGTTTGTATCTTATAATCCAACAGTGTACAAAACAATAGTGACAACATGGCAGCAGCTGCTTTTGTATGAAACAAGGCAGAGCGAGTCCACGATACTCGATGGCATAATTAAATAACTGTACACAAAATATTGATTCGACTGAGTTTTAATATTTTATTAGCTCGCCAAATGCAAAACTTCCACGAAGAAAAAACATTCCTAGCAAGCCTATAGCACTGCTGACTTCAGTGTTTCTATTTTCAGTGGTTGTTATCGGGGAATAACATACCGCTGGATGGCGCGATTGACCAATCAGAATCAAGTATTCCACAGAACCGTGTATAAGATCTGATAGACGTCTTTAAGATGTCAGTTTTACATACATTCTAAATCATACACATCTTTTAAACGTCTGTTTGACATCTGACAGGAAACGTCCTATAGACTTATTGCAGATGAGAAAACACTATAAAAATGACATCTTCCAGATGAAAACACGCACATCAAATAGATATCTCCGTGATGTACGTGTGCTATCAGGAGTGGACAGTTATTTTTGCGGCTGACCTTATTGCAAATGAATTTGTAGGCGTTTCCCATGCTAGGGGATTTACTAAAGTTTGCCGTAGTCAGTTAACTGGGATTTGAGCCATTATTTAAAGCCCAAATAAGCATGTCTTAACCTATTTTCGCTTGACATGCTGGAACTGGAAGATAATTTTCTCCCTTCATGTTCATTTATTATTAATGCCAGATGAAGACGTTTAGTAAATCGGGCCCTATATTTGCAAAATGTGTTTCACAAATGCAAAACAGTATTTGCAAATATACAAGTGTGCGCACAAAGTTTTGAATGCTTTAAATGTATAAACTGGTTGTTGAATTTGCATGTCATCACGTGTATGGATGTGTATGTCAGTGCAGTGACAATGCAATACAATTTTTAAGACTGAATATTCATCTAAAGAAACATCCAATATTTAAGATATTGTGTTATTTTTTTAATTATTTTTTTAAAGAAAGCCATCCGTCTTGTTCATTTAATTTATCTTCTATGAATATGTGTTTTCTTACAGGAGCATCATGTTGAAGACTCGTACACTAATAAGGCTTGGATGCCATTGCTGACTGTTGCTGATGAATCGTACCCGACTGAAGATGCCAGATCGACGTCACCATTTTTAGCTATTTAAATGAATTAAAGCATGTAGCCAAAATGTATTTTATGAAAGAAGCACATTGTCAGCAATAGAACAGCGAATGCTTCATGTTTTTCTGTAGAGATTTATTTATGATGCTGTCATGCTTTTTGTAGCAGTTTAGTACCTCATTCTTTATGACCAAGAAGTGTATTTTACTACTCTCACACAGCATCATACTGCAATATGCAAGCACACATATCATGTGCACAAATATGCAAACATGTCAGACAACATGAATCGACTCTGCACTACTGATAAAACTACTGGAAAAGATATTTGTCACGGATTCAGCCAGCATGCCATCAACAGGTCCTTCATTTGCACTCGTTCACAATCACTGGAATATTAACCTCTCACAACTGTCGCACCCTTCAAAAGCACACACACACACACACACACCTGTTGTCTGGTTTCTTTAGTCTATGCATGAGAATGTATCTACCTGTGATTACTTGCCTTCTTCGTCTTCCTTCATCCGCCAATCCTTCAGACTGTTCATCATCTGTCATCTCATTGAACCATCCTGCAAAGAAACGAAGACTCCTCAGTGACGTGTCACTCTCATGTTCATCTCTTTCCTGCTTGAGGATCCTGCACGATCTAAACTATCTGTGAATAAAGACCTGTTAACTTCATCTCTGTCTCACCTCATGTTTTATGACAATATTATGTTGCGTGTGTATCTACCAGGCTTTTTTTTAAACAGGTCATATGATGCTATTTTATTCATTCATTTGTTTAGTTGTTTGGGTGTATTAGAATAGGTTAATATGCTTTAATGTAAAAAAAAAAACATAATTCTTCACATATTGTACAGCCAGCTATGCACATGTTGTTAAGTTCACTTAAAGAACTTACAATACTTGCAGTATAAAACTATTAAACTAGTAGTTTACCGAGAGTATACTTCAAATTGTATTTTTATGAACTAAAAATGTGCCAGACGTATGTGACTAATGAACTAACAGGATACCTAGAAGTTCACGTATAGTTTCAGTACAAACGAAAAACTTAGTTGTAAACAAGTTGTGTACTCAAAGTTTACTACTGTTACACTTATACTTCTATACACAAAAAAAGTGGGCCAATTTAGTCCCAAGAAGTATTGAAACAGTACACGTACAAGTTTACTAGGATTGATAAGAGTATTCATATTACATAATGTATACTTAAAAGTATATACTTGAAAACTGTACTCAAGTATACTTAATGAATTTTATCTTGAAGTATACTTACTGTAGGGATGCAGTTTTGATGCAGAATTTGCCTGACTTGGAATTGAGGAAATTAATGGTAACACTTTACAATAAGGTTCATTTGTTAACATTAGATAATGTATTTACTAACATGAACTAACCATGTTATTTTAGTTTTTTACTTTATCATTAGATCATAATAAATGGATATAAATTCATTCTGGGTGCATTTAAATAAATCTAAATACCAATCCATTAACTTGTGTGATTAGTACTACCACTAAAAAAAATAAAAAAAGTAAACAGTTACTATATATTCTGAACAGTTGCACACTAAGCAAGCATAAAATCATGTTTAAGTGGCATACACATTTTAGTCAATGTTCTATAAACGTGCAATACCATAACTGTACCCACAAGTAAAAATTTTACTTTATTAATTTTAGTTAATAAAAATACAGCTGTTCGTTGTTTGTTCATGCTAGTTTACAGTGCATTAGCTAATGTTAACAAATACAACATTTGATTTTAAAAACGTATTAGTAAATGTTGAAATTGATATTAACTAAGATTAATAAATGCTGAAGATGTATTGTTCATTTGTAGTTCATGTTAACTATGTTAGTTAACTAATAACTAATTAACCTTATTGTAAAGGGTTACCAAATTAATAATATCTTAAAAGATGGAAAGTTCTATAGTGAATAATATGTTTTTTTTTTCTTACTATGTCAAATCCTTTTTCATCTTAATCTGTGATTGCAATTTCTATCAAATTAATTGAACAGTTATTTCATCACAAATTACTAGAAAAGTCATGAAAATACTCAAATGATAGTGGTAGGCCTACTCATAAAATGTGAAAACCCTGAATTCTTTCCAACGGCCCAATCCCGGAACAGATTGGAATTACGGATCAGAGACAGATTTGGGTCAGAACTGGCCCAGTACAGTTAATAATGCCATGACATGTGGTGCGGATCTGGCCCAGATCCGCGACTCATATTTTACATCTGGGGCTCATCTGGCCCTGGTCTGTGATTCATATTTAGGCTATCAGACAATTAAGGCCCAAACATCCACACAATTTTGTAATTTTCTAAATATTTTTATTTTAAAAAAGGCAAAAGAGAACACTATAGCATGAACAACCATCTGTAGACGTGAATCCAGATGCACAACAACAACAAAAACAATACAAACCAATGCAATCAAGTGAGAAAAAATCATACTGTTAAATGTTTGACCGAAAAAAGATGTCGTTAAAACGACATAATATGTGTTCCAAAAACGAGAACTTATGTCGTTTTAACGACATCTTTTTTCGTAATAACGAGATCTTATGTCGTTAAAACGACATATTTTCTTGGCCTTATAAGGAAATGAGTAGTCGAAAAATAATATGTATGTGGCAGCAATG